GTGGAAGATGGACGAGTTGAATTGTGCCATGTTTTGCGAAAGTAAGATGTTTCATTTTGAGTGCAGTGATCCATACTTACATATTATATATATAGTATTGAATCACTAGGCTATGTATGTGCGAGCTGTTTGTATGAGTTATGTTAGCGAGCACACAAATCTCTTCTTAAGGCACTGACCAGTGACGTCGAAGAAATGTTCAACATGAAATTTCAATTGCATTTCACATATATATATATATTTGTAGGCACTTGTAGGCTTTGAAATACGAAAAAAATAACTTAAAAAAAAACAAAAAAAATAAAGAATAAAATAATTAAAAAAGAAATAAAAATCTGCTAACTCAATGTTAATACTACATTCTGGGGGGAGGGGCTCAAATGTTGAAAATAAAAGATTTTAAATACAAATTTTATACACGTTCACTCAAGTCAATTTTATTAGACTTTAGTGCAGTAGAAACCCGATTCTTGCACGTAATTAAAACCGGCACGTTGCAAAGTTTGAGGTTGTGGCAAGTACTGAGTCTTTTTTTTCCATACAAATTAAAAAAAAAAATTTTTTTACCATTAAAAAACTAAGTACATTTTATTTAATTCATTAGAATTTCGTTATAAATTTTTAGTGAGCGAAAGGAAGCATTATTATGCTCCGCCCAAGCATATATTCAAAGCTGAAGTGACTTCAACTGCTGTGATTTTGTTTAGCGGTTACAAAGCGTCAATTATATCTATATGTATATTGTTTAAATTGGTCAAGTTCAAAGTTCGTTCGGTTTTTTATTCATTTTTCAAAATATGATAATTTTGTGTCCAATTTAAGTCAAATATGCGTAAATATTCGTAAACTTGTTGCCAACGAGAAGCCAACTTCATTATACCCTTCTCGTAGGAGGCTTCGTCTCTATTGGCAAAAAAGCTCGGAGAGCCAATTTTCACAGGCCTCTCTTGAGGCCAACTTCTCAACAAGATGGTAATCACTTGGAGCCAGGTCCGAACTATAAGGTGAGTGCATTAGGACCACCCATCCGAGCTCTTGGAGCTTTTGGCTCATAACCAAAGACATGTGTGTTCTGGCTTTGTCCTGATGGTACACAATTCTCTCTCTCTGTTGTTCAAAGATGGTCTCTTCTGGATGAGTGGTGCCTTCAAGAGGTCCAATTGTTGGCAGTACAGGGCCGAATTGAGCGTTTGGCCATAGGAGAGCAGCTCGTAGTAGATGATTCCTTGCCAACCCCCCTAAACACACAGTAAAACCTTCCAGGCCGTCAAACCGGCTGGGCCGCTTCCCGTTTGCGCTTGATGTTGTCGTAAGTACCCCGTTATTCATCGCCAGTCCCAATCCGTTTTAGAAACGGGTCGATTTTGTTGCGATTAAGCAGCGATTCGCGAATGGAAATTCGGTCCATTATGTTTTTTTGCGTCAGTTCGTGTGGCCTCCAAACATCGAACTTCTTTTTGAATTGAAGGTTATGCAAATGGTTCCAAACGGTTTTCTGGCTTATCTTTAGTTCCTCAGCAATTAAATAAGTTCTCACGGGACGATCTGTTTCCACTATTTTCATGCTTTTATCGCAATTTTCGACGACAGGCCTCCCGATGCGCGGTGCATCTTTGACATCGAAATTACTGTAACGGAACCTAGCAAACCACTTTTGTGCTACACGTTCATTTACAGTATCGGGCGCATAAACCAAATTATTTCTTTCAGCCGCTAGTAGCCAATTTTCGCCTGCATCGAAGAAAAATTGTAAAATATAGCAAATTTTCTCGTTGCTGGTGTCCAGCTTTAACGAGCGCTCACAACGTACTGACTCAATCAATCGAAAAACTGTCAATGAAAAACTTTTAGCGCAAATAAATACGTTCTCAGCGCCGTATAGTATAAGATGATGCGATACGTAACACTGGTACTATGGACAATAACAACATTTCTTAGATAAAAACCGAACGAACTTCTTGCTTGACCTAGTATAAATATATAAATTTGACGCTTTGTAATCACTTAAGCGATTTTCGGCCGAGCTTCAACTCCAATTTGTGGTTTTGGAGTTATTTCATGTCAAAAATAATTTTTGTTTAAATAAATTTTTTATAAGTTTTTGGATGTTCGTACGACACCAAGATTTGTACCCGAGCCTTCCGAATGGCAGTACGCAATGCTAACCACTCGACTATCGCGGCTGCGGTATTAGTGCTCTACAGTTGGGAGGTAAACATATTATCCACATACGGGTGTGTTCATCGGAACTCTTTGGCTCGTATTTTTTGGGATGGCAAAGAGCATTATCAATAAGTAGAAGTACTTTTTCTGGAAGATTTCAGCCACGAAGGATCTCTTTGCAAGTACTTTGTGGCATAACAGAAAAAAGAACTTGAATGGATGTGGATTCAATGACTTTACAGAACAGCATTATTCTGATTTGATATTTTTTCTCCACATATTTTGAGTCTTCGGATTTTATGCCTTTTCTTGTGGTTTGCATACCAGCAATTTCTTGCGTGGAAACCTTCTGGTTTTTTCCTGATTTTGGCATGACTTTTTCTTTTAACATAAAATTTGTTATTGCTTAGTTATTGGCTCTTTAATAGCAAACCAGTTAAACAATGCCTTTTCTTCTTTGGAAACACTGGAACTTTAATGGTCTTACTTTAACCAGGGCCGGATGCAGATTGAGAAACAAATTCCTTTTGTACTGCTGAGTTTTCTTAATACGAGATATTGTTGATCTATGCATGTGCAAAAGCTTTAAGCTCTTAATTTGTTTAAAATCTCAGCTTTTCCTTTCAATTTTAACAGCGGAAACTATTTCTTTGCGGAAACTATTACTTTGCCATTTCAAAACTGAAAGCAATTCACCGATGTCTGTACTACTCTGAATTGTCTGAATTGTGTTGTTGCACTTGTTTTCAATTTACCCATCTCGGTGCTTCCCCGGACCCGGAAGATGTGTAATATAGAATAATATGGTAAGGAAAAATAAAAAATGTTGCAAGTATCGAGGCCAAATTATTCGAATGTCGCAAGTACTTAGTACATAATGAAAAAAACTTGTTGTTGCAAGCATCTAGCTTTCACTGTATTTTAATTGGCATTTAAAATAGTTTTACTGATTTTCTCGGACTCAAGAAACCTTCTTTTTGCGGTATTAAGAGAGATAAAATAATTTACAAAAATTTCAAAATATCACAAATGTCTAAAAATCTTATATAACATGGTGAATAATGAGCTTACTTTATGGGTTTGGTGTGGTCGCTTGCGGAAAGGTCCTCAAACTCTCTTTTCTAGCAACCAACCATTCTTATTCTCTACTGATAATAGCCGTATCAACAAAATCGCACCAGTCATGCCTCATAAGTAAGGCGAGGTCTCCGACCACTTACTATAAATAAATTAGGGTTTTCCTTCTGAAGCCAGAAAATTCGACGTAAATTGTCTTAAGAGCATGACAGGTAGGTAAATGGCAGCCATTTCGATACACTAACCTAAGATCTTGCCAATCTTTCTATTATCACGTCTAATCGTCACGGCATGAAGACATTTGGTGCTCTAAAATAAATTACTGGCATTTAACGGATGCTTTTTGGGTACAGTCATTCAGGGTTTGTTGCCCAATGAATTCTCAGTGTTCCATGCCAAATCAGTAAGAGAGCTGGGCACATTTACATAGAGAATGGGTAAACGCTTCTCTATTTCCTTCTTGTTCGCGGCTGGTACAATCGCTTTTCTATGGCAGACCGTTATTGCTGCATGCTCTCAACAAACTTTTCGTAGGTTTTTTTGGTATTTTCTTGTCATTTGACAGAGCCAAATTTGCTTTTCTATCTTACAGTTGGATATATATTTCCATCTGCCTTGTGCTATTCGTTCAAATTGCTCCTTCCTGATCATTCCTAACCGTCATTAATTTTATTTCATATTCGTCAAGCGATGGTTCCAAATTGGTCAAATCGTCAGCTTTCTCTATGTGGAAAATGTTTTATACGCTCAGAAGTAGAGATTTTGAGATCTTTAGACAACTTCGGAGAATACCCCGTCCCAGTACCGCACCCCTAGCTAAGATCTCCACCACTATATCTTTTCACAACACTTAAAGTATTCTGTCTGTGCTGTATCGACCATCCGGGCAACATGACCTTGTCAACAAAATTTCTATTGTCCCCTCTCAAAGTAAGCCCCAAACGAATAGAACGACTACTAAATCGTGCAACTAAGATTATCAATTAAAAGACACCGTTAGCGAGCCGTATGAATATCGTTTGGTTATCAAAAGCAGTCATGGCCAGAAAATGTGGAAAGATCATTCTAAAAACTATATATCTTGTCACTGGGAGAGGATACTTTTCTCTTTATGTTATTAGAGTTTTCTTGCTCTTTATATGTTCACGATCGCTTTGGCATCGTACTTCCTTCTTCTTCAACTCGCTGTATCTATCCCACTCTGTAGACGTTGCGATCCCTCGCTACGTTGGGAGCCCAATATTCGTTCTTATACAAATTTAATCCTCTTCTTCGGCGTCATTGGCAGGGGCACAGCTCAAGCGATTATTTTCGAATCAGCTATAGCGCGCCATTAGGGTTTTCTCTTCGTTGTCTGGCACCAGTTGGAAATACCAAGTGAAACCAGATCGATATAGCTTTCATCCATACATATGACATAACTAAGTCTCTTCATTCCCTGAACAATATCAATGTCACCGTAAACTGGGTAGAGCTCATCGTGTCTGTCACTTAGGAGGACTTGTCTATTTTGCGTTGGCTTGTCGAGAGGAAACTTTATATGTAGTGCTGCTACCAGATTAAATCATCATTAGAAACTCAGTTTTTGATCAGCATGACAGTGATGGTTGGGCCTTTTCAACATAATTTGGAAGATTTGAGACAGTCTACTTTTCAGTAATGATACGCATAACGAACCTCATTTTTTAAAACACTTAAATTAAACTTTTCAAATCAAAATTTTAAAATGATCAAATTTCAATTTATTTTCTTTGTCTTACCTGGTATACCATAGTCGCCACTAAATCGTTTCGAGTCGTAATTCACGAACTTATCAACATCCGGTGGCAAATGGAACACATCGGTTAGCACCTCGGGCGGCTGGTCGTCCTCGTTGGCATCATCCTTTTTCGGTCGTTCGATGCAAAGGAGTTTAGGTAAAATTTGTATAAATAAACGCTGCACCCATGGCGCCATTTTATGCGTCACAGGTGATCTACGAGGGAAGAGGTGAGGGAAAAATACAAAATTTTTATTAACAAAAATTAATTTTTGGATTTTTTATGGAACTGTTTCTGGTCAAATGTATATTTTTGGAAACAGTGAAAAAATTATTTTTTTTTTCAAAAATTTATAACAATTTATAAAATTTTTATTATATAAATATTATTTTCTGAAAATCTGTTATTTTTTTTTGTATATTTCTTTTCAAAACACACACCCACCTAAAGTTAACATTAAGTACTGCAATTGTAACCACAACCGATAGCGTCACCAACATCATTGTGAAGAGCAAATATTTACCCAACAGCGGCACCGTCAGTGATGTTGGCGGTATAATTTCAGCAAGCAGGAGAAAAAACACAGTCAACGATAGCAAAATGCTAATACAAAGTGAGATCTTCTCGCCGGAATCGCTGGGCAAATAGAAGACCAACACCGATAGGAATGAGATACCCACACATGGAATAATTAGATTGACAGTGTAGAAGAGTGTTTTGCGACGCAGCGTCAAATTGAATACAATATCCAAATATGGCTCTTCACAACAACTATAGAATTTCTCATTACGCACCGCAGGCACACGCATTATATCCCACTCCACTGAAATGTAGTAGTCTTGTAGATCGATGCCCACTTCGATGTTATCCGAATCGGCTGTTTGTTTTAAATGGCGTAGATCCACCTGTTTCGAAGAGAGAGGGAAAGAGAGAGAGAGAGGTTTTAATATCATATCATAATTATGAAATTTGTCAATGTATATGGTATATACTCATACATAGATATATAAAATTATCGAACTATAACCGCTAAAGCGATTTTTAGCAGAGTACAACGCCAATTTTTCGTAAGCGTTCCAATATATTTTTTTTCAAAGAAGGAAAATTTATTAAAAATTATGCGGTTCGTAAGATGCCACTAAATCGGTTACTGCCGCCGTTTCTAGTTCTCGACTAGTAGAATAATCTGGTAAAGACTATACTCAATACTTCTTTTTCTGGAAACAGACACACAGCATCCATATATGTGGTCAATGGATGATTTTGAACCCTTAAAATCGCGGACGTTATTTTTTCAGCTATAACATCAACAGTGCTGAGATTAAACCTGAATAAAGTTGATATATGAAGCCCGTTTAAGGCTTAACTATTAGTATTGGCTTTCGGAAGAGACGATATACCATAGGCCAGCAAAGGAGCTCCACTCCTAAAACAAAAAAATAGACCTATAAGTTTCATCACCTCTGAAGACTGCCGAGAAGATAAGCCTACAAAAAAATTTTTCTACTTAACAAAATATTTACGTATCACCCCTATAAAAAAGTAGATCCACAAAGAGCGTACTTCACACGCTGACTCTAAATATGAAAGAGGTCCAGGGTATTAAAAATACGCACCAAGGGCCTCTCTGTATATAAGTGGATCATAGAGCTCTCAACAATGTCACCAATGATGCAATCGTGAATAGTCTGGAAACGAGCCGAGTAAAGTCTGCCACTTTAATATGTATAAAAAACCTACTGAGCTGCAGGAAAATTAATGCAGAATGGAAATAATCCAGAATGCTCAGACTGAAAGGTACAGAAACTTCTCTGAAAGCGTGTAGAAAACGCTCAAGTGATCTTTTACCAAGTTCCTGAAATATATTTGGGATCGCAAGCTGATGTACAATATAAACTCAACGTGGAGGAGGGGGTAGAGAAGACCAGTAGTGCTATTTACGCATGTAAGAGTACGCTTAGAAGCTACCCGAAACCTATGGCCTCATTCACATTGGATGCCGGCAAAGTCTCCTACAAAAAATCATTGGAGAGAATGCAGCTTCTGGAAGCACTCTGCCCACTGCTGTAAGCTGAGATTGAACATTGTGAGTGAATACACAGCTAGAATGATAGGCAAATTAATGGTTGACGACATGGACCATTTACACCCACGTTTTACCAGGAAAAGAAGGCTTCCACTCTCTCTCTTAAAAGCGGGTGAGGCAGTATTAAGGTGGCTTCTGTTTAGATAGTTGTAGATTAGTCGAATCTACTTACTTCAGCAGGGTCTTCTTTAAGACCAGGGTCTTCTATTAGACCAGGGTCTCCTATTAGACCAGGGTCTGCTATAAGACCAGGGTCTGCTATAAGACCAGGGTCTGCTATAAGACCAGGGTCTCCTATAAGAACAGGGTCTTCTATAAGGCCAGGGTCTCCTATAAGAACTGGGTCTTCTATAAGACCAAGATCTCCTATAAGACCAAGATCTCCTATAGAGACTAAGATCTCCTATAAGACCAAGATCTCCTATAAGACCAAGATCTCCTATAAGACCAAGATCTCCTATAGAGACCAAGATCTCCTATAAGACCAAGATCTCCTATAAGACCAAGATCTCCTATAAGACCAAGATCTCCTATAAGACCAAGATCTCCTATTATCTTTTTACGCTTTCGGTGAACTGCTAAGTATCCTGTTTTAAATGGTGATAATTACGGCGACTTGGCAGTTGAAGATGAATTTTTGTCGTCTAGGATTGTTTTTGAAGATAACCAACCTGATGGAGAATTATCTCTTTTAAAAGTTCCGGGTCCAGAATCGTTAGGTCTGACCATCATGGGAGCATTGTTTTAACTGTCCAGGAACTAAGCATAATACAATAATAGTTTGGAACCCCTTGAAAAAAAAAAAGCTAGAAGTCTGCTCAATCGCAACAAAATCTATCCATTTCTGAAGCGGATGGTGATCGAAGAGGAGTAAGCTGGCACAAACGGTCTTTAATCATGCACATGAGTTAAAGAGAAAAAACCTCATGGTCCTGATTCTGAAGCAGTTGGTGACTTCGTTGCCAGAATGGATTACATACAGCAACCGAAATGGAAGTGAGCCCTCTTAAATGCTCTTCTAGCCAGGATTGGCGACCAGAAAGTTTTTTTTTTGGGCATTCATTGGAACTGATAAGAAATCATCTGCTATGAGCTACTCTTCTACGGCCAAACTCTTAATTCGCATTAGTACTGTCAGCAATTTGACCATCTGGAGGGAGGAATTCGCTCAGTAGCTCCCAGGAGTATATCTGTGTTTCACCAGCTTGGTTTTGAGGTTCTTATGCATAAATCTTCTAATCCAGATTGCGAGCCAAATGTAGACAAGGGCTTTTATGATAGAGGCATAATGACATTACCTTTAAAATGGCAAAAGGTTATCGATCAAAACGGTGCAAATTAGACATAAATCGGATAACTCAAACTATGGAAAATGAAGCACACAAAGTAATGCAAAAATAATGGAGTACAAATACAAAATTATTTATGCACATACTATAGCACAAGATTTTGTTCGAACATTTTCGAATTTTTGTCGAGCAGCGGAAGCAAAAATGTTGACTTTTTTCTTGGAATTTCTTTGTCACTTCTTCCATTGCAATCGGTGCAAATTCACTCAGGGTAGTAGCAGAAATACAAAAACAAAAAGCCTATGTGTATTGTTTGTGTTAACTAAAGTTCGAAATGCTAAAATCTATTTCTTATGTATTTTGTTTGTATAATTTTTTGAAATAGAAGGAAGAACAAGCAATCATATGATTTGACCTTCTATAAATTCGCCTTGATTGAAAAGCTAACGATATTTTGACAAACAAAATTGAAAATTGAAAAATTTCAAGCAAAAACTTGAGCAGTTGAGCAATGGATGAGTCTCGAGCGAGTATTGAGCTGCTCGCACAGCTATTATCCAATTCTAAGATAGAATAAAGTGTATTTTCAATACTTTTCAAACATTTATCGATAAACTGTCTATAAGTTTCGAAAGAGATTTCCAGCAAATACCAAAAGTTGAATTCTTCAGGGATACGTACTGTAAACCAATTTTTAATACACCGACTTTCTAGGGTAGTGATTTATCGAAAACATCCCAAAAAGCGGAGCTTTATGAGTATATGTCTTTGTCCCTGTCTAATGAGTGGAGGAGTAAGACCGATTGAGTGATCTTTGTCGAGATGAACCAGAGACATTTTTTAGATCATAGTAAAGTAAATAGCAAACAGTTCTGCTTCTAAACTAAGTTTCCAGAGCGAAAAGGGTGCTCCTTGTCGCAGTTTATATGAGTATCTCTCTAGAAACGTTAATTGAAGTTTGTTTTATTATTAATTCGAGGAAAATTTCGAGCACTAAGTTAAACTAAAAACGTGAAATATTTGAAGAATGTTGAAATCGCGTTATCTTCAGATGCAGCTGAAAATTTTCAGATTATTTGCTGATGCTTTATTTAAACTACCGGCACTTGGTTGGTTATTATTTTTATTTTCATTGCCTTATGACCACCATCGGTGCGTTTCTTTCCTGTTTTTTTTTTTTGCCTGTTCAACAATCTGTTGCACAGCATTGGAGCATTTCGCATTTCATTTCCACTTCCATCGAATTTAATGCTTTTCTCTTCACACAGCAACTTGAGTGTTGGTAATTTCTCAAAACTACCATCAAGTGTCGACTGTCGGCTGCTGGTTGTTGGCATTTTTTGTATACACAACTCATGTGCCGCAATTTTCTTGATATCCTTCTTGGTGGCCGCATGTTGCATTGTCATGCAACGTTGCATGTACTACAAACATATATATAAATGTACTTGTACATATATACATATATATCTTAGGTATATGTGCAGTAGTATGTGTGTGTGTTTGTGCAAACACCAAACATTTGGTGGCGACAATTCGTCTTCGCCTTCGCCTTCTGTGTTGCACATCCACATGATATGGCGGTAATATTTCGACTGTGATCATTTATCATCGCTGTGACGGCCATCGTCAGGCTATAAACGAGGACATGAAACAGTCGTTCTGAGAATTATGAATGAAAAAGCGTGAATGGAAATATTGCTACAAGTATTTTCTCTTCGAGACATTTTTCACATGTTGCATGTTACTGGTGTTGCCCTATGTGGGTGTAATAAAATTAACATTAAATGCTTTCCAAAAATTTTGGGAATTACGATTCGCTTTATAATTCAATAAGGGTCATACAAAATGGAAAGTTTTTTTTTCTTTTCTTGAAAAAGCCGTCAACAACGGATTTAGCAAAGTTAGACTCGCTCAGTGCGCTGAGTCTTTATTTGATGCAAGCAAAAAAGTTAAATTTGTTTATTGAGTTTCACAACTCTTATTACTTACTTCTAGATCTAGTTAAAGAAGTCACACAATAGAGATTCCATTTTTCTAAAATCTTGTTTCGTAGGGCACATCTTACAGGGGTCCATCCCAATCTAAGGTTTGTTTCTGTTATTCACCATATACTCAACGGCCCTTTCCAGGATTTGCCGTATTGTGAATATCTGGTCAACGGTGAATGCAGCAGGTCCTAAGCCACACTTTGCTTTAATCTTTCACATACCACACCCCATAAGTCCAAACTGTATAACGAAACCGAAAGGTACCGAAGCACATGAGTGTGGTTGTGAACGAGGGTAAGACGAAATATCTCCCTTCATAACGTCATTTCTCTAACGTTACTATTGACATTCTTAAGTTCGTGGATAATTTAGTCAATCTTGGTACCAGCATTACACCAATAACAATGCCAACCTGGAAATCCAACGCAGAATCACTCTTGCCAAGAGTTATTGGGAATCGAAAAATGAAGTCTTCTCTTGACAAACAAAGATACAACCCTACAAGACCCTCATGAAGATGACTACATTTGATGTGTCGG